CATAGATCTTGTGCTTGCTCTTGGATGTTGTATAATTTCAGCTCACATCTCAGAACCAGAAGACTGTTAATGTGGGCCAGGAGAAAAAAATAGTGACAGGGGAGGATGGGGGGAAAAAGCAAACAGCAGGAAAAAAACAACTACATAAATCTTCTACGAAAGCTGCATACATAAGTAAAACGCTGGACTCGCAGTGTTCTGTACTGACTCATAAACTATGATAAGCCTAAATCACATGCCAAAGAGCTTTGTCCCGAACACCTTTGCCAATTAACCCCATTCATGATTTATCTTAAGATATCTCAGGCCGGTGACTTTGCGACAATATTAACCCAAGTTATTTCAGTTTTCTCAGGATAATAATCATGAATATTATCCAAATAACAACTTGTTTTGTACAATAAATATTTTTCATCAAAAAACATATCAATACTTTCATTTTTGTGGCTATATTCCAAATGTGAAATAAAAGATAAATTTTAGGGTCATATTTCCAGGAAATCAGGGAAATGGTTATTTACCAAAATTGCTTCTTCATTCATATTTCCTTCATAAAAAGGGGGCCAAGAGTCATTGTGATTGGTCTAATGAACATTTCTGTGTGGGAAGCGATCTTCAATCAAGCAATACAGAAACAGTGGAGCTCTTGCAGACTCCGACCGCTATTTCTCGATGTAACGATAAAGGACACTGAAGAACCGTGTTGTTGTTAGTCATGGTGGCAATGCCAGTTCTGCAGGTACATCTCTTTCATTGAATTGTGAGGTGTGGTGTTCCAAGGCCCACTGATACAAAGGCAGACCCTGATATCTACATCCAAGGGCGTGTTGCAAGTGCCTGCACATTTTCCAACAGGCCTATCGTTGGCCCCAAGACTAAGTAAATTAAAATTAAATCCGTGGCGTAACAGCTCCAGAGAGCCAAAGCCGACTAGCTTGACTGCTGGCCTCACGTTCACATGCCTAAGCAGAAGTGAACTAACCCAAGACTAAGTAGCATATACTAAACTGTATCACATTTTAATAAGTGTTTTAAGGCTCAGAGAGCTTCATAAGCCACAGTTTCCATTATGACCCTGGGAATAAAGCAACACATCATCTTCACCGTTTCATAATAGCTGGTCATTATGTATGAAGCCACATGTTCTGATCTGCTGTTCACACACAACAAACACAAAATAAAAGCAAATACCTGGTATGCCTGAGGAGGAAGTTTGGGCTTGGAGAAGATGCTGATGTGTCAGGTTCCGTACCAAAGGATGCATTCGAACGTCCATGCTTGCGCACACTGTGCTCTCCCCATGCACGAAGAATGCAAATGAGAATGAGAAATGGGTGCTGAAAACACATTAACAAAACTCTCAGTCTTATTTCAGTTTAATAAAATTCATTCATTCATGCACATCACCATTTTCAGTTCACATCGAATTACACACCTTATCCAATTTACAAGGACACATTATCTTATGTTCATGTAAATGTATCAACTGTGGTCAGAAATTGCAAGAAATGCTTTATGAAAAAATACAATACTGGCCAGTGTCACACGTCAAACACTCTTCACTAAACAAATTCCCATGAAACCACGTTGTCTAAAGTTTGTGGTGTAAATACAGCGAATACTTTTGAAATTTCACTATTTCTTATATACTGATAAATATGACAGGGTGAAATAAAGACTACACCAAACTACACCATGTCCCATAATTATCTTTACAACTTTAACTCTTAATAACCAAATAATGAGATGAGATATAAAAATGTGGTTTTTTTTTGCATATGAAAGAGTAACTCTCAAAGTTCTTTTTTACGTTTACTTGCAGGTTACGCTACACTTATTGAAAATGGCTACTTCACAGGAAATGGCGCAGTGTTTCCTGGTTCATAGAGACCAGATTAGATACACAGGTCCAACGACATTTCCGGACTACATATGGAAGAGAACCACCATCAAGACCCACGATTCGTGGCTGGCACCGCACGTTTATGGAAACTGGCAGTGTCCCGCATCAAAAGGGCGCTGGCCGGCCAAGCACAAGTGCAAAGGATACCAAACGTGTTCGTCAGGCGTAGCCCTAGCAAGTCCACTCGCACAATCACAGCCAACGTTTACTTGGACATGATGACACACTTTGTTACTCCACAATTGGAGGATCTACAACCACGTATCATCTTCCAGCAGGATGGTGCACCCCCGCACTGGGCTCTTTTTGTCCGTGACTTCCTTAATGAAAAATCTCCTCATCGATGGATTGGAAGGGATGGTCCAATTGCTTGGTCACCTCATTCACCTGACATAACCCCTCTGGAGTTTTTTTATGGGGATATGTTAAGGACATTGTGTACCGAACAGAAGTTTGCAATTTGGAAGACCTGAGACGAAGGATTACTGCAGCCATCGCAACAATTGATGCAGGGATACTAGAGCAAACATGGCAAGAAATCAAATTTCGTTTTGACGTGCTACATGCAACTAATGGTGCGCACATAGAGGTGTATTAAAGAAAAAAACTTTGAGAGTTACTCTTTCATATGCAAAAACCCACATTGTTATATCTCATCTCATTATTTGGTTATTAAGTGTTAAAGTTGTAAAGATAATTGTGGGACACGGTGAAAAGGAAATTAAACTGGCATGTTAATTCTATTACCTCTTGCTGATAAGCTTCTCTGATCCATCATATGGCTGAACAAACCACTTGCCAATTCGAACGAAATCACGAGACAGCAAACACCTGGAAAAAGAAACATAGTACAGACTCAAGGCAATGCATGAGTGCACTTTATAACACCAACTTCTACGTATTATACTGATGGCACTGCAGTGGAAATGGAAGCTGGCGTAAGTAAGGCAACAGTGAATTTTACAATCCCGAGGCATTCATTACAAAACAATTCAATCAACACAACATATTCTCTCCCAACAAGCAATTTTCGTTTGTTCCAGAAAGACCCCCCAAACTGATCAAAATTATCTTCCTTGATAAAAAAATATATCTATGTGCATGCGCGCACGAGTGTGTGTGTGTGTGTGTGAGAGAGAAACATTCTTTCGCCCCATTTTTGTAGCTAATAATTTTTACTGCCCTATGCCAAGAGAACTGCTACGTGCACTCTGCCCATTCCTCTTCGAAACACATTACGCATTGTGTATACGAATAATGTTACAGGTGTCAACACACATTTTTTGGAAAAGTGCGGCCACTCCCAGCATGCTCTTGGCTTCGGGCTTCAAGGGGTAAAATGCACCAAGTACGAAATGCGTACACCCAGCTAGTCAAGAAATTTCACACATTTCATCAAACCCAATGGTTCATTGCCGTGTCCTCAAGAGTCCAGGAACATTTTCAAGTGTGAGCTGTCAGCTCCTCGCAACAACAAACAGAAATACTAAATCATAAATGGGAAAAGGATATGGAAGGAAGTGGTCGTGGCGTAATTTAAGATAATATCCCTGCATTTGCCTGGAGGAACTGAGGAAAACCATAAAAACCTCAAAATAGCTGGTCTCTAGGCTGAGATTCTAGAAGCTGGTGCTAGATGAAGATAGCTTCATGTTACAGTTCCATTACCCCTAGAAAGTGCCCTTTGTGCCATGAAGAAAAAGGTTCATTTGGCCCTATCAGTAGCTCGTAGTGTCAGAATACAAATATTAATGAATAATAAACAGGATAAGACATGGAAGGAATGACTGAGGAAGCCCGCGCAAAGCTCGGCGAGGACAGCGCGTCTCTGGGACCTTGTGAATGTGAAGCACAAGCACTAAGGATTCTACTATCACGTACTTCTGCGCGAGAGGACACTGCATCATGACACAGAATATGACTCATTCACACTCCATGACAACGCTCTGGCAGGAAACAAAAAGTGGAGCAAAAGTTGGGGGCTATATGAAAAGGCTAATCTATTAACATCTACAATACACCTGAAACTAATTACTCATTAGAACTGTTTTCACCATTTGATCACCATATGACATGTTCTGGGTTTCTATGCGGTACCTTTCGATGAGATTATGCAAAGCCTTGAAGAGAAGAGACCTGCATTCGTATGATAAGCCACTTTCCCACGATCCTTGCTCGCCATCTGGAACAAACAATGAAATATCTTAGTAGCAAACTTCTTTTTAAAAATATTCTGACTATCAAAATAAAAAGTGGCATATAACACGTTAAGGCTTTCCCCAATAGCAAAATGAAGCTTGTAAGATCTTTTTCTGCTGGAACAGAATCTGACCATGCTCAAAGTGTCACTAATAATCTCAAGCACAAGCATGGGAAGAGCATTCCAGAAAAGCATCATCGACCGACCGACCGACCGAGGAAGAGATGGGAGGATCAAGTCTAAACTTAATCCCTGACCACTGATGACGTTTTTCTAATTCACCAGGAAGAGAATGTTTCTGTTTCGTACGGACCTCGCAAGTAAGTTTATGTTTATGATCTAATTAATTCCATATTTAACTGCGGTTCAGTTGCTACTGCAATGGAAAGAATTTTGGACGGCTACATGTTATTATTTTAAATTCTATAAGAAACTTCTAGAAGTTACAAATTTTTCTATGATTTCAGTACCACACACAAAGCAGTATTAGTGATGAATCCAACTGAGAAGATCGCATGAGCGAAATAAATGAATTATTCATGGTTGGAAATGAACTCCAGTGATTAATGAATATCCATCAGCTGGTTGGGGGTGGGATACGGTGAGCGACGTATAAAACTTTGTTCCTTGCGAGTCTGTTAACCTCCTCTCTTCTGTGCGAGATTTCGTGTGCAGAGGCAGCTCTTCACTTTGTATCGGCGACGTCTCCTGCGACCACAACACGGCCAGCGACTGCTGTGTCTATTAACACGGTCGACAGACAGCATGGGACCAACTCATACTTCAACCATCCCAGAGGCTGTCATTTTCTCAGAATCTCTGACTCTTCCAGATTGCTGGGATCAAACGACGGGCTCTTCTCAAAGTAATGCAGACATCGACACAATATTTTTTTATACGTATCACCACCATCATCATCAGGGAAAAGCCTGCAACCAGGTCATCATCGCCACAACACAATTAATTACCTTCACTACTCTGATGCAGCAAGAACTGCCAGCCGCTGCCTCCTGTGCGTCCTACCCAGATTACCTCTCGACGACTGAAGGCAAAATGCGGGCATGCCTGTCTGTTTCTTTTGCGACAACTGACGACTTTGGCCTCGTGGAATATTTTAACAGTTGTCTTAAGCACGCGGCACCTTCCATGGCGTCCTCTTCATTGGGGCTCTGTTTCTTCTGGCTGCTGCTGAAGGCAAGGCTTATGAATTTTCTGGAGTGTCCATCGCTCACCAGCGCGGCTCTCTGATTGGTCGTTCATTCTTGAGGCTGTTCTCATCTCTTCTATTCGTTCTTCCACGACACGCACGTGTTTCAACTAGGGAACGGCTGGACGGATTTTAATAAAACTTGACATGCGTGTTATGCCACTCGAGGTTCGCCGAAAACTGGAGACTGAAGTGAATTTAAAGGTGGCAAAGTCATACATGGACTTTGATGACACTCAGCAGCAAACGCAAACTTGACTCTGCGCCCTTGAGTAAAAGCGAAACAGAAACGACTCGACACGAAAGAAAGAGTTGCCTCGAAGTCTTCGAACACACTCAATATTCTGAAGGCTTCTTTGCTGTTAGGTTGCAAACAACAAGCACGTCCGTCCTTTACGGGAGCAGGAGGTGGTTCTCGCCACCGCGTCCCACTATCCCGAAATCGACAACCGCTGAAGCCTCGTCGACTCCTGGGACCAACTGGAGGATTGGTGGCGGGACGGAAAAGTGCGCGCGCATTTTTTACGGCGAGGGAGAGCAAACCCAGACTGCAGTCAACCTCAGATGACTGAGGTGAAGCCAATTCTGACGATGCGTTCAATCACACTAATAATTAATTATGACCATACGTAATATTGCAAAACCTCTCGCCGAGGGGACGATTGCATCTGAACAGCTTCGACATTTATGTTTCGGTAAAATTGTCGCGTCAACACACGCGTAAATGCAAGGCGTCACCTACACCTGGACTGGGTCAACGACTTCCCTTCGGGTAAGGAAGACACCGGAAATTTCGTGACTGCCTTTTATACTCGACACAGTCTGCCACGCCCTCAGACCTGCTTCGGGCACCCCAAGGCGACGGAAGAAAGTGAAACTGCTCCCTGTGGGGGAAATGGACCCTGGAGGGGGGGGGGGTCAATATCCAGCGGCTCCGTCCTTCAGCAGTGACAAACGCATTCTCGTTGCAAACCTCCCCATTCTGCGCCCACCTGATGCACGAACGTCGGAAAATTTAGGCAGACGACTCGCGTAACCTTCGGAGATGACCAAAGAAGACCACCGAGGCGTTGGTTTGAGGCGCAGCAGAAGACAGCGACTGTCGTTCAGGGGCCAAACGCACTTATTTAATCGCCGTATCTCGCTACGGAAGAAGGCTGCTTGCACTACGGAGCAACGCGAGTCCGGCCGGCCCTTTCTTAACGGACCAGGAGTCAACGGCCAACGCTTTCTCGTCACGCGTTTTAATCGCGGTCAGTAAACACCGAGAGATGGCTTCTTCAGGATTGAAGTTCGGTAGAAGTTTGCGACGTTTCGGAAGAAAAGCTAAGCCCACGTTCACGACATTTGTATACGCACTGAGGAATTGTAAAACGGCAGGGTTTGTCGCACAAGCCTACAAAAAAGCTCGACTCCTGCAAAACAAAGCGACAATTCGTTTCTCCACAGTCAGTTGTGTGTCAACTGACACCCGTTTCCAGAAAAAACCTCTCCAAATTTTCTCGCTCTTTTTAGCCTCGTTCCCGTATTTGCCTATTTCTCATTTCTAACCTGCAGAATCCACGAGCCCAGAGTCGAAAAGCCGGAACACGGGAAACAAATAAGCCACATTTTTATACCGGGGACCGCAAAATGACCTCGTGATGAAGTCCTCTTCGCTTAAAACTACGTCCGATGTTCCACGTGGCAAATCGCACTTTCGCCCGTGTCCACCCCACAAGAGCCCACCAGTGACGGCGTTCCTTAAACAAGTTCTTGAGACGCCCACTGGACGCAAAGACAAAGTTCAACGAGAACACAACCCACCCCACGTAACAGCTGTTCTGGAAATCAGA